GCGCGCTGCCCCACGCGCTGACCACCCTGATAGAGCCACCCCGGGCGGCCGGCAACAAGCGCGACGGCGCCATTGCGCAGGAGGGCAATGCACTTCATGACCTTCGCTCGGTCGCCCATCAGCTGGGGCGCGCGACGCAGCGCGGCGCCCTCCGAGCTGCAACCGCGGAGGGGCAACTCCTCGCCTCCAATGACGAACAGGGCCTCTGGCGAATCTGATCACGCGCTGGGCTCAGCCGGCACCCGCGCAGGATCGGCGGGGACGCAGCTGCAGCGCGCCGCGGGCCAGCAATCACATGGCCACTGCAGGCAATCGCGACGGGCGAAGGAGGCGGGGGCTGATCGCGAGGAACCCCGGCCTCAAGTAGTATGAACCGCAGACAGCCGTAGCGCATGCGAACATTCTGCTGATGGCGCTCACTCGCGCCCTGTAGTGATATTTGGTTAGTTGCTCGCATCTGCTCAATGACAGCACCGCTGCTAAATCATTCGGGTAAATCAGCAGCAAGGGAACCCCCGGCACCTACACTGCCGACCCGATATCGCTTTCCCACGCAAGCGCAGCTGGCAGACCTGCGCGCGCCCAACTTCCCCTTGTCCTCTCCTGCCGGCGATCGCGATGGCCGCCGCGGCGTCGCGATTGCGTTTGGATGTCAAAAACTCCGCGAACTGCCTGCAACCCAGACCCCGCGCATCCTCCTTTGACTATCCCGCAGCGCACGCTTGACATATCTCGTTGTTTCCCTGGCCAAGTTCATTGGCCAATGACTCTCCGCATCTGTGATTTGCCTCGCGCCAAAGTTCGCTCTGTTTGCACTCGATCGCGCAGTTTAATACTCGGTTCGAACAGTTTTCTCCACTTTTACCTCCTGGTCCTGGCCCTACTCCCCCCGATTTCCCTCTTTGACTTCGCATTCGAACCAGTCGAGGTCGCGGTCGCTGCCCAATAGTGATGAGTCACCACCAAGAACACTTGGTCACATCTTCCCTCTAGCGCGCCCCCCGCAAAAAACGCCCCGCGAGGCGAACTCACTAGCGCGTCATAGTTTCATCGCGAAACCTATGTAACAAGCCCCCCAATCGAATTCATTGCTGGATCCTTTGTTCTATGCGTCGATCTTCGCACATTCCCACGCGCGCCATGCTCGCAGCCCCCGCCTGGGAGTTTGACGAGCGCATCTTTCTTTGCTTGCGCACGCAAGTAGGCCCCCCGCGCGCCAGCGAACCCCAGCTTCGCCCCCTTTTTTTTTTTCTCTCTCTCTCTCTCTCTCTCTCTCTCTCTCTCTCTCTCTCTCTCTCTCTTCTCTCTCTCTTTCTCTCTCTCTCTCTCTCTCTCTCTCTCTCTCTCTCTCTCTATTTCTCTCTCTCTCTCTCTCTCTCTCTCTCTCTCTCTCTCTCTCTCTCTCTTTTCTCTCTCTCTCTCTCTCTCTCTCTCTCTCTCTCTCTCTCTCGTCTCTCTCCCCCTTTAGCTTCGCCAGCGCAGAATGCGTTCGGCAACTGCCAGTGAACGCAATACTTGTCGCGCTTCAAGGGGAAGAGCGGCAGCGAATATTCTTCGCCTTTGAATGGCATTGAACATGCTGGGCTACTAGTCGCGACCTGTACTCAGGATTGGCGCCATCGCCCTTGCCGATGCCTGCCCACATGGTTCCAATTGGCAAGTGCCCGGCAACCCCCCAGCAACCTGCTTCTCTTACTTCTTCATCGACCTGGTGATTCCCGAATAATGCCATCTCCGCCGCCCTCGCCATCCAGGGAGCTCAGGTTCTAAGTCGGCCCCTGGCGCATCATCCCGGGCTCGCCGACGCCCATCATCAGAATGTTGCACGCCAACAGCATCTCTCCGTTAAACATGCTCAGTATTCCCGAGGCTCCCGCATGCTTCCAACGCTTGGTACATATAAACACCCTTCATGTCCACATGTGCTACATCCCCACCTTCGGGGGCAGATGCCCTCCAATGGTCGGCGTTTACTCGTGGACTCACAATGTCTTCTGCCGCTCTTCATTCGATTATCATTTCTATCACGTGCGCTTTCACAAACTACCCGAACTTCGATTACTTGGCCAGAACCCAAGTGCATGGTAGCTCCACGGGTACAATTGCTCCATGCGGGGTCTTCAACACATGGCAACGTGATTCCTCATGCCCCATCTCTGTTCCGCGCCATTTCTAGCTCGCCCTCCTCTTCCGATCAGCCGCCTCTAACTCCACATCCGATGTCGGTGCTTCTATGCGTGCTCACTTGGCTAGTTCCTTTTGCCTTGCATGAACGTCCTACCCTGTCACGTTGTTTCATTGGCTAGCTTGACTGACCGGCAATGATGGCCCGCCACGCCTTGCCAGGTAAATACTCGATCTTTTCGACCGACCACTCCCCGTTAGCTCTAACTGGCAACGCTGGGTTTACATGTCATGGTCAGACATTCCCACGTGTATGTGCTATAAATCAAGACACTCCTGGCGTTTCTCCTGGTTTTCTGTACCCTTTTCTTCGCAATGCACTTCCTGCTCCAAGTCTATCGCCCCCCAGCTACACGCGCAGGCTCGACCGTGGCTCCGGCGGGCGACCGCCAGCATCGCCGGCGGGGTCACCGTCGCCGTCGCGGCCGTCGCCGTCGCCGTCGCGGCCGTCCTTTTTTTGTTTTCTCCAACGAGACGCAGATTCGATAACTCGCGAAGATCCACGCCCCGCAACGCGGGGAATGAGACTTGGCGGAAGCCCCATTAACGAAAAACCTCCACGGATGAGATGCACATAATGAGTCGAGGCGTTCAAGTAAATACCGCACTATGTGCCACGACCAGCGGGACACAGCTATCCCACTTAGTGGGATCGATGCTACACAATGCGATGCAACACGGACATGGGGCGCAACGTTGCAGCCTGCCTGCAATGCGCATTCCCCGGTCTCACGTGCAGCGGTTGTGGGAGCACGCGCCCCTAGGGATCCCATAGTGAGCGCCGAAAGTCATCAGGGTGACTTACAGCACGTTCTGAAATAAATCGCTTCTGGAGAAAAACTCGCACCCAGTGGGGTTGGTGTGCTAGCGCCGAAGACCTGCACAAGACAAAAATCGTTACCCGCGCAAGGCCTGCGCAAGGCCCGCGAAAGACAAAAATGTTACCGCAGGAAGGCCCGCATGAGAGACTCATGCACAAGAAAGCCGGATCTGCTGGGTCGACGTCGTACATAATCGCTGCAGACGCTCGTATACGTTATGGGCGAAGCAGCTTCCATGACCGAGACCGTTCTGTTCCCCGACGATACCATCTGCTGAGCAATCGATGCATGCCCATGCTCTGCCCAGAACTCGACACAGCGCGTCGCAGGTGGTTGGTGGCGCGGTAGACGGCGTACACCGCCAGTGCTGTCCGGATCGTGTCTTCGTCCTGTGCGTCTGCACCCATCAGAAAGAAAGCACAGCTGGATGGCTTGGAAATACTGCCCAAGCCCGAAAGTATGGCCACCCGCGTGAATTCCCAGACCACGGAGCAGACAACATAATGTTCCAAACTATCTGCTCCGTGTTCACAGCCAAACAAACAGCTACCGGAGGCATCCTGGCTAGAAGCCCCTGCATGGCGCATGCGGCGGCGAGTGGTCCATCCATTGAACAGTGTACGAAGATATGCTGCAGCCATCTTAGGCGGACACCACTTGTGCACGAGCGCGAAGTTAGCGCGGATTCTTCCCGCTGCGTCAGCCGGAACGCCCCGGAAATTCCATCTTGATATATTGTGCTGAAGCCGCTGATCCCGATTGCCGCTCTTGGCCCTGATCAGAGATGTCGCTGCCGCTTGGAATCTAGGCCTCTTCTGCTGAGGGGGAACAGCGGCGATGGCCCGCCGAACCGCTGAGCGCGTGATGTCCATGCGCCCGAACTGCTCCTCTGCCCGGGTTAAAATAGCAAAATAGGAATTCTGATGCCAACGCCCGAAGGGCCCCTGCAGCACAGCGTCATCCAGGGAAGAGAGCTCTGCGCAGCGGTTTTTGCAATCGGGGGCAATGGTCTCCACCGCCGTGGCCGTCCTCGCCGCCGCCGTCGCCGCAGCCGCCGTAAACGCCGACGCCGCCACAAACATCCCCCGTCTTGAAAAATCATTAAGACGGGTTTTGTTCGTCGTGTTCGGCCTCTCGGGGCCCTCGCTGGGTCACGGGGCCGTCAACCAACTGCCTGAAATTGGAAAAGATTGCCCTGGGGAGAGGGCCAGGACTTCTTGGAGGCGCGCATTGCAAAAACAAGACTTCGGATCTGTTAGGCCGTCGCAGCACATCGCCGCCGCCGCCGTCGCCGTCGTGCGGACTTCCTGGATCGGCGATGGACACCAGGGAGACCTAGCGCAAGCCCAAGATATCTGCGTGGACCACCGGAAATTGGTGTTTGTTTTGTTCTCTCTTCTCCGATCGTCGCCTGCCAGCGTCGAAGGCCGGATGGACCTCCATCGCCGCTCGTCGGCGGCCGGCTATCACCGCCGCTCGCTGGATCCGTCGTTTGGTTTTCTTCGATCGCCGCTCGGCTCGACGGAGGGCCTGTTGAGAAAACGGCGGCTCTCCAGCCAAGCCCAACATCGGTCCCCCCGACCCCTCCCTGAGTCCAGCCTGATCCGTTTTTCGAGGCGGATCCAGCCGTGGCGGTGAGAGGCGTCCAGGACCAAAAAAACGAAGAGCGCCAGTCAGGGCCGCCGCTGACTCGACTGGCCCTCCTCCAGTCTTGATCATCCATCCTCCATTCCCAAAGATCCGCTGCGTTGTGTTTTTCTCCACGGGGCCCCCGGAAGTCCAGACCCGTTCCAAAGGGCCCCAGGGCCAGCTTCTTATCCCGAGTCGTTTTCTGACGGCCCCTGGGCCCGGCGAGGGCCCCCAAAGGCCGAAAGCAATGGAAAAACTCCCGCTGATTTGCTCAATACATTGGAAGCCTCGGCCCTCCGACCGTGGGCGTCGCCAACCGGCGTCGGGCCGGACTCGGGGGCGCACTGACCCCAAGTCGGCGCAAGCCTCGGCCAGCCGGGGCCCTGCCGCGAATCCAGGCTGGCCGCTCGGTAGATCGCAAAGCCAGGCCGGCGGAGGGCAAGCGGAGGGGGGGGCCCCGCGTGCGATGGCGTTGCTCGTCTAGCCAGGCCCGCGCGTGCGCGGGCGCGGCTGGCGCCACGAGCGCTTCGCCCGCTCCGCGGCCTGCCCAAGGAGAGGAAGAGGAAGTGGAAAAAGCGCAGGGGGCGAGTCTGAGCAGGGGGGGGAGCGAAGATGAGGACGAGATGCGGGATCGGGCGCGGCCCAACGACCCCGAGTGAACCATCCCCTTCCGTGCCGTCCCCCTCGCCTTGCAAGCTCCCATCCGGCCGCGTACACACGTCTCAGTGCGAGGCGAGGGGGGCGTCATGGAAGGGGATGGTCCCTGACGGCGGGTACCCCAACCCGAGTCAGCCAGAGGGGCTCGGCTGAGTCCCGTCAGCGCCGACCCGACAGACTTCGCCGCCCGAGTCCCCAGCAGGCAGCCGCCAGCACGGCGACCAGGCACCACGCCATCGCTGCAACCGTGTCGGCGAAGGGCGGCGTCGGGTGGCCAAAAAGGCGCTGCCGGCCACCCAGCCACTTCTCCTTCCCCCTGTTTCTTCGTGGGCAGGCCGCGGGCGCGAGGGCTCAACGCATCCGTTCCTCCTCCTCCTCCGCCTCCTCCTCCTCCGCCTCCTCCTCCTCCTACAGCGAGCAGGGCCAAGACGAGAAGTGGAAAGTGTACATCATGTTCAACCCATTGGCGACTTCTCCGTGGAGCGCACACTGGCAGGAGCAGCTCAACGCGATCAGAGTGGGCAACCAGGAAGCGGAGATCCAGCTCGGAAAGCACTGCATCTCGGACCTCCGCAGGGCCACGGTGACGGCGCTCAAATCTCAGGGCGCAGACATGATCCACGGCGTTCCACCCCCGTCAGGACTCGAACGCCAGCTACAGGCGGCGCTCAGGGCCAGACAACAGCAGGAGTGAACATGGACGGCCTTAGATTGCTGGCGAGCCGAGGCAGCGCCAGAGCGAAAGACCTCCTGAGAATGATCAGCAACAGTCGGGACCGATGACAAGAATGTGTAGGTCAGACGTATGTCATGTGTGTGTTTTTTACGCTTGGATAGCACGAAAGCAAGGTTTGTATCGTCGCTTCGTTTTTGTTGTCGGGAACGTTCCCCAAGGCCCCCTCCCTCCTCCGTGTTCCTGGCTTGGCCTCTTCTCCTCCCCCTGGGACGTGCCCGCCTGGAGCTTTGTGTTTGCCGTGTTCCCCTTGACCCAACTGGGCCTTGGGACGTATGTAAACATGCGATAGAGACCTGCTAGAGAGTGAATCGGGGGGAGGAGTGGGGGGGGGGGTGAGGGAAGGAAGCGGTAGCAGACTGCTCTTGCACCGAAGGGCGAGTGCAGGCAAGCAACCTGAGTCGGGGGCGATTGGCCCCGAAAGGTCCTAAGCCCTGGCCGACGATCCATAAGATTTTGGTGGCTGTTTCGTCGGGAAGGCTTTGCGCTGCAGCGGGCCAAAAGGCCTAAAAGCCACGGGTCCCGTAGGCGACCCCCTTCGTAACGCCTTTGTAGCGCGCCGGCAGCCCAAGCTCTCAGAGAACGATTGCGGACAGCTGCACAAGCATCCGACTCCGACTCCGACTCCGACTCCTCCTCGTTCTTCCTCCTCATCATCATCTTCCCCCTCCTCCTCCCCCTCCCCCTCCTCCTCCTAGTCACCCTCGTGTTCATCCTCGTCATCGCCCTGCTCTTCATCCTCCTCAACCTCCTCCTCCTCCTCCTCCTGCTCCTCCTCTTCCTCCTCCTCCTTCGCATCATCATCATCATCATCATCATCATCATCATCATCATCATCATCATCAGCATCAGCATCAGCATCAGCATCAGCATCAGCATCATCACCATCACCATCATCATCATCATCATCATCATCATCATCATCATCATCATCATCATCATCATCAGAAGCATCATATTCATCATCATCATCATCATCATCATCAGCATCATCATCATCATCGTCATCGTCATCGTCATCATCATCATCATCAGCATCATCAGCATCATCAGCATCATCAGCATCATCATCATCATCATCATCATCATCATCATCATCGGCATCATCATAATCATCAGCATCAGCATTAACATCAGCATCACCATCATCATCTACATTATCATCCGTATCATCATCATCACCATCATGATCATCATCATCATCAGCAGCATCATCATCATCATCATCGTCAGCCTCATCGTCAGCCTCATCATCATCAGCATCATCATCATCAACATCATCATCATAGTGATCGTCATCGTCAGCATCAGCATCATCATCATCATCACCATCATCATCATCATCGTCATCGTCATCGTCATCATCGTCATCATCATCATCATCAACATCATCATCATAATCACCCTCGTGCTCATCCGCCTACCCCTGCTATTCACCAGCGTGTTCATCGTCGTCCTCGCCCTCCGCATCCGCCACCGCCTCCTCTTCATCCTCCTACTCAGTCTCCTCCTCGACCTCGTCCTCCACCACCATCTATTCCTCCTCCATTCCCTCCATTTCGCCCTCCTCCTCCCCCTCCTCCATCTTCTCCGCATCCTGCTCATCCTTCTCCTCATCCTCGTCCTCCTCGTCGTCAGCCTCGTCCTCCCCCTCGTCGTCATCCTCGTCCTCCTCCTCCTCGTCCTCCTCCGCCTGATCCTCTTCTCCTTCTCCTACTCCTCCTCCTCCTCATCAGGATCATCATCAGCATCATCATCAACAGCAGCAGCAACATCAGCAGCAGCATCATCCTCCTTCACCTCCTCCTCCTCGTTCTCCTCCTCCTCCTCCTCCTCCTCCACGTCTTCCTCCTCCTCATCCTCCTCCTCCTCCTCTTGCCCCTCATAATCACCCTCGACTTCATCCTGGCCCTCGCCCGTCTTATAGATCCACCCTCTCCTCATCTTCCTCCTCCTCCTCCTCCTCGTCTTCCTCATCCTCAACCTCCTGATCCTCCTCCGCATCCTCATCCTAGTCACCCTCGTCTTCACCTTCGTCCTCGCCCTTCTCATCCACATATTCATCCTCCTCCTCCTCCTCTCCGTCCTCCTCCTCCGCCAACTCCTCCTCCGCATCCTCCTAGTCACCATCATCGTCATCCTCGTCCTCGCCCTGCTCATCCACATCCTCCTTCTCCCCCTCCTCCGTCCCCTCCCCCACCTCCTCCTCCTCCTTCTCCTCCTCCTCCTCCTCCTACCCAACCTCGTCTTCATCCTCGTCCTCGCCATTCTCCTCCACCTCCTCCTCCTCCTCGTGTTCATCCTCGTCCTCGCCCGTCTCATCCACGTCCTACTCCTCCTCCTCCTCCTCCTCCTCCTCCTCCTCCTCCAACTTTTCCTCCTCCTCCTCCTCATCCTCATCCTGCTCCTCCTCCTCCTCCGTTTCCTCTTCATCCTCCTCATGTTCCTCCCCCCCTCCTCCTCCTCATCCTCATCCTCCTCCTCTTCCTCCTCATCGTCCTTCGCTCCCTCCTGACCATCATCCGTCTCATCCGTATCATTCTGACTCATCCTTATCGTCATCCGTATCGTCATCAGCATCATCATCATCATCATCATCATCATCATCATCATCAGCATCATCATCATCATCATCATCATCAGCAGCAGCAGCATCATCATCCTCAGCATCGTCAACAGCATCATCATCATCATCATCATCATCAGCATCATCATCAGCCTCATCATCATCATCCTCATCATCATCATCATCGTCATCATCATCATCATCAGCATCGTCATCATCATCATCATCGGCAGCATGATCATCAGCATCATCATCATCATCATCATCAGCATCATCATCATCAACATCACCAGCAACATCATCACCACCACCACCACAACCATCATCATCATCATCAGCAGCATCAGCATCGGCAGCATCATCGTCAGTATCATCACCATGATCTGCATCAGTATCATCAGCATCGTCATCAGCAGCAGCAACATCAACATCATGAGCATCAGCATCGACATCATCACCATACTTCTCAACACCATCAACGATAACAGCATCCGCATCATGGTAACCAACAACATCATCGTCATCATCATCAGCAGCAGCATCCTCAGCGACATCACCATGATCATCACCACAATAACCACTACCACAGTCAGCATCACCGTCGTCATCAGCATCAGCATCATCATCAGCATCAGGCGCATCATCATCATCATCATCATCATCATCTTCATCATCATCATCATCATCATCATCGTCAGCATCATCAGCATCATCAGCATCGTCAGCATCGTCAGCATCATCAGCATCACCCACCGTCACCGTCACCACCATCGTATCACCACATGCATGATAACCATCAACATCATCAGCATCAGCATCATCAGCAACAGTACCATGATCATCAGCATTAGCATCATCATCCCACTCATCATCATCATCATCATCATCATCATCATCAGTAGACTCATCAGCAGCATCAAAATCAACACCATCATCATCATCACCAGCAGCAGCAACATCATCATTGCCAGCGCCGTCATCAGCACGCCCCGTCGGATCAGGAAAGGGGTCTCGATCGAGCTGTCCACTCGTTGCCCATTTTTGCTAAGCGTGTGACAGTGGGTGTCAAACAATCCTCACCTTCATCTTCATCCTAATCGTCCACCTACTCATTCTATTGACTTTCGAATTCGTCTTCAACCTCGCGCTCCTCATTTGAATAGGACAGTGGGTTCAGGTCTGCAGAACACCCCAAACAGATGCCAAGGGGCGCAGCCAACCTGCTCGTTCAAGCTGAAACGGATGCATTACACCCAACGTCAAGCCAACACTGTGGACCTAAACGGATGGTTAGGTTTTGCACAACTTCGCCGACTTGACCAGCGAGAAGTTTGACCAACTTGACGCCCCGTTGCTGGTGCACATGCACTGAAGGGCACTTTCTGACCCTCGCCCCTACTCAACTCCTCACACGCCTCCTCCTCCACCTCCTCCTCCTACTCCATCTCCTCCACCTCCCCCTCCTCCTAATCATCCCCCTCCTCGTGCTCATCCGCCGACCTCTGCTATTCACCAACGTGTTCATCGTCGGTCTCGCCCGCCTCAGTCGCCGCCGCCACCTCTTCATCCTCCTGGTCATTCTCTTCCTGCCCATACTCCTCCTCCACCATTTCGTCCTCCTCCCGTTCCTCCTCCTCCCACTCCTCTTCATCCTCCTCCTCCTCCCGCTCAT